TTTCCCGGTTCCCTCTCCCGTCCCCCATGCCTACTTGCATTTCTAACCAGACCCATTGGGAGCTTTGCCTCTGTAGCTCCTCAGTCTGTCCCTTTGGTGTAAGTAGCTTGTCTCCATCACCCTGCGTACCCTGAATTCATAGGCTGTTAGGATGTGTCCGTCTCGTGTGTTGGCAGTCCTCACAGGCTGGTACATACATGTTCACTTCCCATTATCCATCCTCTAGCATGTGATGCTGCTGTTGACCCAGAAGGAATATTCTCTTTGTGGGTTGGGGGGGGTTGCCTGCTCTAGACAGAACATATTGTGCAACAGTTAGACAAAAGGCCTTTATGATAATGTTTCCCTCCCAGAAAGGAAAGAAGAGTTGAATGGAGTGTGTTCTCTTTCTTGGTCTTTGGAATAGACTCTGGCTTCCATATGGCATTGATTTTTGAATACACTGAGATAGTGATACATACAAGTTGCTTGTGTTTTTTATGTACATTAAGCAGAAATTGTGAAATGCCTGCTTTGTGCTATATCCTCATGAGATCAGGGATTGCCCAAGACTGATCTGAGCCTCTTCAGAAAACTACAGGGAACGTCCATGGCACGAACATGGTGTTATCTCCTCTGTGTACATGTTAGTCTTGTCTCCCATACAGAACAGAACCTTGGGCCACAGCAGGTTCCAGAAGAGGGAGAAAACAGCTGGGCAGAGCCTGTGCCATTTGGGGATTTCCTGCTGAGAGTTGTAGCAGCTGCATCTATTATTGGACTTCAAAAAGAAAACCAATACCCCCCACCCCAACTTGCCCGGGAAAGGAAAACTTATTCCTGGCCCTGGCTGAAGGCAAGATGAAACACGTCCAGATGGGTTTCATCAGTAACATTGCCCGCTGGTGTATGAAACTGTTCCCTTGGCTTCTGGGTGATAACCTTTACCCAGGGGAATAATGAATGACAGTCTCCCATTACATGGTATTTTTGCAGCCACATAGGCAAGATCAGAGCATGTTTTCAAAATATCATAGTCTGCTCCCCTCTCCCTCTTATTTATACATTTATGGACAATTATATCTACCTATTAAAATCTATTATTCCCAGTCTCTTTGCAACAGACATAAGCCATTACAAAAACCCCACAACCAATCAAACTACAGAGCATAAGTGACCATGTAGTGCCCAGTTCAAGTGAAACATCTACAACATAACTCTTGTAGCTAAGGCTCATGGATATAGAGAGGAGAAGCAGAAAAGTTGTAAGAGCCAGAGGAGCAGGAAGTTTGAACACCAAGAGGTATGCTAACACAGAAGGGGGAAATCTGATGCTTCAACCCTAGACAAAGAACTACAGGCAACTAAGGAATGCTGAGAGCTGGAGAAATAATGTTCTTCATGGAAGAGCCCCCAGTTGGTTGTCCAATATCAAGTGGTCAGCCCTGAAACCATATGCATGTGAGTAACATACAGACCGAGCAGGCTGTATTTATAGATTTAGGAACACACATACACACACACACACACACACACACACACACACACACACACATATGTAGCAATAATTTAAGAAAAAGAAGTCATGATTTTAAGAGAGAGCAAAGGGAGATACATGGAAGGTTTGGGAGGAGGAAAAGGAATGGGTAAAATAATGCAACTATATTTTAATTAAAAATTTAAAAATTGATTGATGTATTATTGGGTTGTCTCCAATTTTTCGTAAGAATAAGTGAAGTTATTAAAGACATCTTTGTGAACCAGATTCTCCTCTGATTTTACCTTTCATTTTATATTTAGTTTTTTAATGTGACAGACTACTAAATTTTAGGCTGTCAAATCCACCAATCTGTATGCCTGCTGTTTGTCCTCTTGCTGTCCATCAGGACCACTCCAGGGTTTTAAAGTTACCTGGGCACCGCAAACCACAGCCAGTCCTGTCTGAAGCCACCTACAGAGTAGTTCACTGGCAGAATTTTCTCTGCAGGGCGGACACACTTTGTTTCTTATCTGGACTTCAGAGGGTTTTGTGAATTACGCCCCTAGTGGTCAGAATTGAGTTGTTCTTGGGGGCATGCGCTGAGAACCTACCTGCGGGCTACTCTCTCCTGCTACCTCTCTGCCGCCCTCCTCTCTCTCCCTCCCTCTGTCCCATTCTAAGGCCCTTCGTCTTTATAGGGTGCCTTTCGGAAGCTCCTCGGATATCAAGGGTTTGCTGTCCAAGCTTCTTTCCTCACAGGAATTTTAAGGGAGCACCGAGTCTTATTCTGCCGGTGCTGGAGCGTTGCTGTGAAGCTTGCGCAGGTGTTGAGCTGACTATTTGGATCCCATTCTCCCTGCCTCACACATCTCCTACCTGGGGCTCCAGGTTCCCTTTGACTGAAGGATAAAGTGGGACCCTCCCCTCTAAGCCCCTGGCTCCTCTTTTCAGCTCCTCTCCGGCTTCCTCTTACCTCTTATGCTCTACAAGCTGCCCCTGAACCTAGGATCCATTCGCATACTGCAGCCGAGCAGATGCACAGAGCCACGCGCCAAGTCTTGTCCTGACGGGCGAGCCTAGTCTTCAGTGACCAGAAGCTCACACCACTCTTAAAGTGGAGGAAAAGGTAATATATTCTATCATTAAAGTCAAACAAATAGATAAGAATCGCTGTAATCTAATTTATGGAGTGCTTAAAAGCATCTAGAAGGTTGGTCTTAAAAATCTTACCACTTCATTTTCTAAAATTCTTGATCTTTAAAGGCCTTCCGTCTCCCACTCACTCGAATGTGTAATTTCTCTGCCAGAGTTATTCTTCCTTACTAACAAAAACTGTCCTTGGCCTATGCCGGTTCAGGTACTTTTCCTCTGGCAGGTCACCATGCCTGTCTGGCTGTGACTTGGTGGACCTGGGCTATAACGTAAGGCCCAGCCAGTGTGGACAATCAGCAGGGCTTGCTGACTGAAGGAGAAGGAGGGAAGCTCTGAGAGAGCCTGTGGATTCATGGGATACCGCAGGGAGTAATCTTACGGAGGCTCCCACACAGTGGGACTTATTGCTTTTTGTAGCCTGTGAATAAGTATGTGTGATAAACGCTCATGTGGAAGGGGAAGCACATATGTGGGTGTGGATGGGTGTGTGTGATCACGTGTGACAGGCAGAGGACAACACTGAGGGTTGTTCCTTCAGGTACCTGCTACATTTTGTTTGAGATAGTGCAGGCTGGGTGGCCTGGAAATTTCGAGAGAACTTCCTGTCTCCACCTCCCATCTTACCTACCATGCCTGAATTTTTATGCGGATTCGGAGGATCTGAACTCAGGCCCCCATGCTTGGAAGGGAAGTGCTTTACTCACTGACCCATCTCTCCAGTCCCCCCTTTGAAGCATTTTCAGATCTCATGGGAAGAGACAATATTTCCCTGGGTGCTTACAGTGCCTTAAAGGATTGGGAAATACAATGGTAAGAATCTGACTGATTCTTCCAGATTCTCCATCATCAGTGTCTAACTGCTTATTTTACCCGGCTTGTGGAAAAGGTTGCCCCCCGGAAATTAAGCTTTCCCTGAATTTGACTTTCCATTATACGGACAGCTGTCATACTAGGAGAGACTCAGCTTGGCTACCAAGACTGCAAGGATCTCAGAATGAAATAGGTGTGGCTTGCACTTGTAATCTTAGCACTTGGGAGGTTGTGACAGAAGAATCATGAGGTTGAGGCTACTCTGAGTTACAGGGGAAAATGCTGTTCAAAAAATAATCAAATATATAATATCAAAAAGAATCTTTCAGAATAACCACAGATATTTGCAAAATGCCTAAACATAAAAACACACACATTTTCCCTATAGCCAGGTGATCAGGAAGAAATGTTCTGTTATTTTCTTCTCTGTTGCAAGAGTAAGGCAAGTTGCATTGGACTATTAAACATGCTGAAAGACACATAGCAAAGAGAGACAAGGTCATGACCTGCACTCGAGTGTCTGAAGATCTCTCTGCTCTCTAATAGTGGGTTAGAGACAGTAGAGAGAAAAATGAATCTCCATCCACATGACTAGCTTTGCATTCATTCTCAACTATGCTTAATTCTTTGGCCAACACTGGAGACTGTATCAGCACTTTTTCTTCCTTGTGGAATGGCCAAGGGTTTTTCATTTCATACTTCATTTGTGGCTGGGTTCCTGGTCTTACCAAGGCAATACAGTCTGTTCACAAGACCCAGTATATTGTAAGATACAAGAAGAAAGTAATTCTTTCTTGTATTGTTGGAGCTCTTTTAGCCTTTGAAAAATAAAGAGCAAAGGACATTACAATGTGCAGCATCCCGTAGATGAAATATCCAAGTCTTAACTCCCAGAGTCACTGTTTGGAAATGTGGTTTTGCAGTTTTAATCAAATTAGGACTCTTTGTTGTATAATTACTTGGATAAATTCATTGACTACTGGTTTTTTGTTTGTTTTTTAGTTTTTCTAAGACAGAGTTTCTCTGTGTAGCCCCGGATGTTCTGGAACTCCTTCTGTAGACTAGACTGGCCTGGAACTCAGAGATCCACTTGTCTCTGCCTCCTGAGTGCTGGGATGAAAGTCAGGCACCATCACTGCCTGGCTTGACTGGTGTTCTTATAAGACAAAAGAAAGAAAAATTTGAGATAGAGAGGAGCTTGGACCAAGCGAAGACGGAGATAGAGACTACGGTTATGCTGTTGTTAGCCAGGAAGCACCTTGGGCCACCAGAAGTCAGGTGAGGTGAGGAGGGTCTCTCCCCAAAGATTACAACCTTTACCAATGCATTCATTTCATATTCTTGCTTTTCAGAACTATGAGAGGATAAATTCCCACTGTCTTAAGTTGCCAAAGTTATGCTAACTCATTATGACATCCCAAGTTCACATAACTATGGTATGGGGAATGTCATGTTGCTGTCAAGAATACTGGAAATAGGAAAGTGGTTTTGAACTTGGTCATGCATTAAGCTGAGTGAAACTTGAGAAGCATGATCAAAGAGTCATGTATTACCCATTTGCCATTTCCACTCAACTTACCTTGGGAAGCTGCTGAGCCCTTCAAGGAGATCTCATTGCTGACCCCAGTAGGTGAGTACTTGAAATTTGTCTTTATTTTCTCTTATAACAACTCTAGTATGAGTTTAAGGCTCCCACGTCAAGTTCTGGATTAAATCTGCAAACACCCTATGTCTAAATAAAGTCCCATTTCTAAGTCCTTGGAGTGAAGACTTGGTGCCATACATTGTTCCAGTTGGTGCCACCACTGTGGTAAATTCACTCTGCTCATGGAAGGCCAGCTTTTGGCGTCAGGCCTGATCTTCTGTGCCCTCCTGAGTCCTGAGGAATTCTCAATGTATCCCTAGGTCTTGACTGGTGCTGTGGGAAGTGGAGGGCAGGGTCCCCATCGTCACAGCCACTTGCAGAGGTAGACACTGCCGGCATGAGGCAAATGGAGATCAGAGCATGTGGGGTGGTAACCTGAGCTTTGGGTGAAAACTGAAGGGTGTTGGCTCAACCGAAGTGTGCAGGATTGTGTAACCTCCATGTGTTGCAACCATGGAGACCAACATGGTTCAAAGAGAGGACCGGAACACTGGGCTTTAAGTTACACAGGAAGGAACTCTGTACAGGGTGCTGATTCCACAATCATGGGCAAGTCACTGAATCTACCTGACCCTCATCACTATCTGCAAATAAGGTCAATCACACAGGACTTATATAATTACCATGGTGATTAAATGAAATAACAGAAACGGCCATGTGGTAATGTGCCTAAGCCAACACCTGGCATCATTTAGTGGGCACTTCATTAATGGTCAGGTTTCTTTATCTATTTTGTATAGGGGTCATAATTAACTTCCATTTAGAAACCACTCTCGGTGAGTTCGAACCCTGTACCATGCAAGTGTGGTTGCTAGAAGTACAAACATGACTCCAAGGAAAAATGTCCTTGTCCTCCAAAGAAATCACAACAGAGCAGGGGAGACTGACATGTAAGGGTGATTATGGTGTCCAAAGAGTGACAGCACCTGCTGTCAATGTTTACAGTACACACAGAGAGAACTTTTGTCCTGCTTTCCACAGTGACTAACCAATATGTGTCATTGGAGAAGTGGAAAGAAGCCTCCCCAGGGGACCACGAGGAGGGGCACTCAGGTCATGGAAGGTTTTCAAACCTGACTGCCACCATCTTCCCAAGTTCTGCTGGGCCTGCTCATGAAAGATCATCACAGCTGGTCCTGATGACAGGTTTTCTTCCCTCATGGGCAGGGGAGGGAGAGTCAAGGGACCTCCTCCTGAGTAATCATCCACCCCTTCTGACAATTGTACACAAGTCTGGCCTAACTGCACATGGTGTTGGGGGAAGGGCTAGAGGGACTAGATGGGGAAGAATGAGAGAAGGGGATTATGTCCATCCAGCCATGGTGGGCATCATCCCTGAAGGGAACAGACCACCTACTGTGGCTACTTTAAGGTCAACTATGCCCCTGCCTATAACCATTTCATTCTAATAAGTTAGCCTAATAAACTCATTGGTTCTCCTGGGTGAACTTCAGTGGAGTCGAACCTAGGTTTGTGACTGGGACCTTAGGAAGTAGGGTAAATGTTTATGTCTCTTCCAGAAAAGGAATTTTAGCAACAGGGCATCTGGAAGGTTTCGAAACTTGACTGCCACCATCTTCCCGGTGGGATACGCTTTAAACTTTTTCTAGCAGTGCTGGGGGTTAGGAACGATGCTAATGAGAGAACAAAGGGAACATGTAAAGACCTGTGCCTTGTGCCAATGCTCCATGAAGCCTTAGCAGGACCTCCATGACCAGACACCCCTTTAAGGGATCCATGCTTGCTCCTGAGAGGAGGCAAGGCTAGAGTTGAAGTGGGGAGGGAGAAAGCTTCTGTGGCCTTGGTTTAAGGAAGACTTTACTAAGGCCTGTCTGAGGTACCAGGCTACCATGGAGTGAATATGAATTGCTTCTCCATATTGGATTTGTTGGTATGTTTGTTTTTGAGATGGGCTCTCACTATGCTGTCCAGGCTGACTTGGAATTTGTGAGGTCAAGTAGCCCTCCCTCTTCCTCTTCCTCAGGAGCTGGGACTAGAGGCGCATGTCAGTGGCTGACTTCATGTTGGAACTGGAAGGCCGTTGTGGTGCTGTTAACAGGAAAGAATGTTTAGGTCATGGGATAGAGCTCCTTATGAACAGGGCAATGCCATGCTCACAGGTAAGTCCTTGCTGTCGTGAGACTGGGTGAGTTACCACTAGACTGTACTTTCAAAAGGAAGGTCACCCCTCATGTTCCCTCTCTTCTGCAAGAACTTAATTGCTCTTCAGCCAAGCTGATGCAGGGTCTCATCCCTGAACTTCCCAGCCACCAGAACTGTAACCCCAACAACCTCTTTCTGTTATAAAATGTCAAGTTTCAGAAATTCTGTTACAGCAACAACAACAACAACAAAAACTAAGACTAATGTTGCTAGTATATATCCTCAAATCAGTAGTGTTTTGTTTTTTCAATATTCCTACAGGTATACTGGGGAATTGTACGTAATTGCTTGGGGGATGGGTTAGGGCAAAAGTATCTGCTTGTTTTCCCAATTAATCCAATATTGCCACCAAGGTCACTTAACAGTGTACATAACTCAACTCCCCTAAAGCTTGAGGCCAGAGTCTCCCTCCCCTTTTTCCAATCGGGTTTACAGTAAGAGACTAGATTGGCTGTGGCTTTGATTTGAGAATGTATTAATGGTAAACTCTGTCCCAGCTGCCAAATGTAGCCTGGGTAGTGGGGGCCCTCTCTTTACAGCTTTATCCCCAAGGGCAAGTGTAAGCCTCGGCAGTCCTTTGTTGGAGCTTGAAACAGTCATGACATGCTCTGATGCCCATTGCTAACTGGACTAGGGAAGTAGATCTCTAGTATGTCCAGGTGGCCTGGAGCCTGGTGCGGATAAGGTGGTGGGTGGCTTCGTAAGTCCTTTGAGTGGATTAAGTGTGACACCAGCTCTGCCTGTGTGTCAGCGTAACCAGTTTGTGTTATAACTGATGGCAATTGCAAAGGCTAACACACAGTCCCGTCTCGCAACTGTATGAAACTGACTTCATTTTATAAGATGTTTTCCTTTGTCTTTTGGCATGCCTGTATGTGGGCAAACACATACATATGTTTGCATATAATTTTACTTTGGATTGACTTACAAAATACATTTCAATTTGGAAGGTTACCATTTCAATAACGACCTCTATGCCATAGTTTTCATAATTATTGCTTTAATAAGCATAAGTTATTTCCTTCAGATGGTATACTGCTTTCTTTGGGAACTAAAGGACATTTTCAAATTTTATTATTATTAGAAAAATTCTACATAACACACACACACACACACACACACACACTGCCTGAGGGAAAATCCAGGCTGGTCTGGAACTCCCGGGATCAAGCAATTCTCCTGATCCATCCTCTCGAGTAGTTAAGAGCACAAGGCTGTGCCAGCAGGCCATCTTCCTGTTGGAATGAAACTTTGGGAAGCAGAATGAATACAATGCGGGCTCTTGATGCCAGTAGATATGAACATAAGTCCTTGATCCACTTACTGAGCGTCCCTTGCTGTGCTGCTTGTCTTCCATATCTCCATCTCATGATGGGTATGAGTCGGGTATTGCTGCCTAACAAACAAGCTGGAAGTACAAGTAGTATGCAATGTAAATGTTAACATGTGCTCCTCGACTTACGATGAGGAAGAGGAGGGATGGTCCCGCCGTAAGAACCCTTGCTACTCTTCTAAAGGACATGGGTTCAGCTCCCAGTACCCACAGCAAAGAGTTTGCAGCTTCCTAGAACTCTACTTCGGGGGGGGGGGGGGATCTGAACCCTTTTCTGGCCTTCATGAGTACCTGTGTACATGTGGTACAATTCTTAACCCCTCAATCTCTCTCTCTCTCTCTCTCTCTCTCTCTCTCTCTCTCTCTCTCTCTCTCTCACACACACACACACACACACAAATAAACAATGTTTTTAAAAGGTGCATTAAACACTTCTAAATTGCTAAACATGGTAGCTTGCCAAGACATTATGATGCCTCTGCCAGAGATCTTTCAAAAGAACTGTATTGAATATCACTAGTCCAGGAAAAGTCATGATCTAAAACCTGAAACAAATTTCCATCAGATGTGCATTGCTATGCCACTGTAATGTGAAAAACCCTCTCGTTGGGGCCATCTTGTTGGGATTGGGTGGGATTCACCAGATCAGGAGAGATCTCAGTTTGGTAACTCTCCTTATCAGAGTCCATGGGTCAGGAGGGATACTACTGTGCCATTTGTCTTATAGGTATGCTTCCTGATTGTGATACATACTCAGAAAAATGAGCCTAACTACTTTGCAAGACTCTAGTCACATGTATTTTAACATTTCATCGGCTAGTTTTATGTCAACTTGACAAAACTGGAGTTATCTGAAAAGAGGGAACATCAGTCGAGAAAATGCCTACATAAGGTACAGGTGTAGGGCATTTTCTTAATTAGTAATTGATGGAAGGTGCAGCCCATTGCGGGTGGTGCCATCCCTGGGATGATGGTCCTGGGTTCTATAAAAGCAGGCTGAGCAAGCCAGGGAGAGCAAGTGAATAGGCAGCACTCCCTCGTGGCCTCTGTATTAGTTCCTGCCTCTATGTTCCTGCACTGCTTGAGTTCCTGTCCTGACTTCCTTCAGTGACTTCCTTCAATGTGAAAGTGTAACTCAAACCTTTTCCTTCCCAACTTGCCTTTGGGTCTGGTGTTTCATCACAGCCATTGTAACCCTAAGACACTAAATCAAGTCATGTGATCAAATTTTAAAAGGTGGGCCAAGGAAATATATTCTGATGCTTCAGGGCAAAGAGCTCCAGTCATGCTTCAAAGAGAAGGGACACAGACAGGCCTAGAGAACGGGGAATTACTGCGATCTACCAGGACGTGTGAAGGCAGCAACTGCAGATGTGTGATGGGAGCAAATTGGTGTAACATTTTAAATAGTTAGTGAATGTTACCTCCAAGAGTGGGGAGGGGTTCATTGTCGTATACTTTCTATACATTTCATTCCAAAACTCTTAACAGTTCTTGGCGTAGAATAAACACTTGAGCATTAAAATATTCTGAATGAAATATTCTATCATTAACCTTCTAACGTAACCCCTGCTGTAGGTGTCACACATTATTTTTGTTCCTCTGGCACTTTGACTAAAATCCCACTGGAAATTCATCATATTCTATCGTATCCCATTGTTTCTCCATCCTCTCATCTACTGAACAAGGGCTGCAGGGGAGATGGACTATGATGTTCTTTTTTTGTAATCTCTATGGCTGCAGCAAACACCATGTTCATACGAGGAAATAGAGTGATACTCTTCATGCTAGCAAAACGACTCAGCAGGCAAAGGCACCTTTGGTTAAGCTGTTAGTTCAACCCCTGGCACCCACGTGATGGAAG